GGGAAAAGGGGGAAAGGTCCTCCCTCCACATGGCCCAGGACAGGGGCATCTTTCCCAGCACAGGCAGTATCGGGAGGTTTAAATTACGAGAGACGGGCAATTGAGAGACTTTAAAACTATGGTTTATTGTCTCATGTAATCAGTCTTGTAGAAGTGTGAGACATTAAAGGTGTTCCATCTAATGCCATATTATCAGAAGCCACCTAATTCTTAGTTACAATGCCTTCCTTAGTTTTTTAGCCAATCACATACTTCTACAAAACTTATTAGCTTCTTTTTACACCAATCATTAATTGCTTTGCTTTTTGTTGCTTTGCCGCAATGCAGCATTTTTATCTAACCATATAACACTTCACAAACCTACATTGATACATCTTAACATCTTTGTAACAGGTTCTATCACTAATCTTTAAATTCTTTTACTATCTAACTCTATATTCCTTTGGACAACATAATACGTATCTCTGCTTAAAACATATTTGTACTCAAACTACAATCTTATATTCTTGTTTTATGTCTGTTTCACTTTCAGTGTTCTAATTCTCTAACCTTTCTCCAAGGTCTTATGTGAAACAATGTACCTATCTGTATCTGTATCTGTATCTGTATCTGTATCTGTATCTGTATGTGTATCTGTATGTGTATGCGTATGTGTATGTGTATGCGTATGTGTATGTGTATGTGTATGTGTATGTGTATGTGTATGTGTATGCGTATGTGTATGTGTATGTGTATGCGTATGTGTATGTGTATGTGTATGTGTATCTCTATCTCTATCTCTATCTCCATCTCCATCTCTTTCTCCATCTCTCTCTGTCTCTGTCTCTGAGATTGTATGGACAATGCCCTGAGAGATCTCTCTGTGCTTGCATTTCCCACAAGGCAGGGGCTCCCATTCAAAGAGGGTTTCATTCTGTACATAGAGCATCAGGCATCTGGGGAACACTTCATGCCAGATCCTTCAGGGCTCCAAGGGGTTTTCCTGGCAATAGAACTGCTCCCTACACACTGGAGTGTGAAAAACATCCCCACAGCAGGTTAAAACCACGTAACTACACTCGTGGGAGGGGCTGAGTTGGGCGAATCCCTCACATCCTTGTGAGTTACCTTCCAAATAAGCAAACCTTCCGTACTCCCGCAGGACAGGGAGGAGGTGGGAGAGTCCCGCCCCCGCCGGCCCCTGCAGGTCCTCGGCACAGCAACCAGGGGGCACCTCCATCCAGATGGTGCCCCCATCCGTCATGAAGTAGAGCTCATTGAAGAGGGCTGACTTGTACCAGGACGGCAGCTGGCTGCGGGAAAGAGGGAAAGTCACCCTCAGAGGCCGAGGTGGGGATGCTCCTGCGGCAGCCAACCCCAGGAGGCCCCTGGGAAGGATGCTCTCATCTGCCCTACCTGTTCTCCAGGATAGGATTCTGCCAGGCTTCGATCTTCTTCTCCCACTCCTCGTAGTGTGTCAGGGCTTAACTAATTGTCAAGAACAGCTCCTAAGTGGTATGAACAGTTTTTAGAGAACCACAGCAAGGACAAGCAATGGGAAGTTTGGATATAGCCTACATTGGGGAATAAGCCACAGCATCCTGGAGGGATTTTAACTAGTCAAAGAGGCTGAAGGAAAGAACTCTGCTTGGCTTGGGTGCTCAGAATCAGCATGGACACCCATTTCCCCTGCTCCCTCTCCACCCATCCCACAGAGGATGGAGGCACTCACCAGTGGGTGAATCCAGCCTGCCATCCTGCAGGAGGTCCTGCCACACCTCTCTACCCAATCCCGTGGGATTGAATGCCGTGACATGGGTGACTCCTGTGCCAGCCTGGGGAAGGGAAGAGCACCATCAGGGAGGGGCTGCTACTTTGGAGAAGATTAATGCT